CATGCCATCGACACCGGACACGAGTGTCGGCTACCGCCCGCCCGCCTGCCACGAAAAACTACGGCTCACTATACAGTCCAGATGAGTTCAACCCAACATGCAGTGCCAACTATAGCCGCTGTTATCAGCCCCAAATCACGTGGCCGTTCGAATTTGAAGTAAACAGGGGAATAAGATTGGAAGACGAGGACAAGGATGTGAAATGAAGATAAGGACAAGCATGATGCTAACCCGGAGTTGCATTCAAAGAGGCTTGAAGTCGCTCTTGTGAGAATTGTAGACAATTTTTTATGAGACAACAATATGTGCATTGTACTGGGTCTACTGACGCAAGTTAGAAGCAGATCATGACGTGGGGTGGAAATGCTTGCAACTCACGGTGCCGACAAGGCCCATGTATCTGATCCAGAGCCCCATTGACAATATGTATATGGATTCCGAAGGGCGGGGGGCAGATGTTGCAATGTAAATATGAGGTTTATGCGGGTGCTTGTGAAGCTGAAGCTCATGTTGATCCCGATGTCCTAAGTGTCCTTCTTGCAATAACGGATTCAAAAACGGCCATAGGAAACTCCGAAGTAAAATGAAAGCCCCGAGAAATGCCCGTACCGGTGCTAATATCAGTATCTATTTGCTCCAATTCCTGTCCAGTGCCAATGGATGAAAGCCATTAAGTACATCAGAGGCCCAAATCCAAAACATTGGCAAAAACACACGAAAAACAGTATAAACAAAGCCATAAATAAATCATAAATAAATCATAAAAAAAACATAAACTTGGAATTGAGCCAAATCATATATTTTCCATAAAAAAAAATCATAAATAAATCATGAAATATGGTTTATTTATGTTTTTTTTATGAACTCGTATTCCGAGCATAAACAAACCATAAAAAAACCATAAAAAGACCATAAACCAGGAAAACCACCAAATCATAAAATAATCATAAAAGAACCATAAAAAAAATATTGGTGGTTCCGGACCTGTAGTAGGACTTGGCTGATCATAATGCTATGTTTGGGACTTGGAAAGGGACCCTACAGTAGTCTTGAGAACTACCCGTTTACATGAGTCACTGCTTGCCGCCAGGATGTTGGAACAGCGCCGGCCCCCCAGGAATATTGAAGTAACACTCCACGCTAAGTGCCACGCGTAGACTAGACAAAAGCAAACTTGCATCCATAGGAAACACAACAGTATAGCCTGACCTGGCTCTGCACGTCCTGACGGAGGCTAGACATTTAAACTATGCCACGTTCACAGCTATGAAGAAAGTCCATCACAGTCGTCATGCCATGTGTTCCCGACAGCCAGTGTTGGACTTGCCGAAGTTGCTGGTTTTCTTCTTATACCACCCGAACCGTAACTATTGCAAAAGCCATAGGGATCCTTTTACGTGTGCAAAAAGGATCAAGGGTTGATCAAAGCTGTGTGATTCCATCACAGACCTTCGGAGAAGCCGTAAATCTTGCAGACATTTTGCTCGGTACGGCAGCGGCCACCGGGTACTTTGTCGAATTTTCGATGTTCTCAAGAGCCTGATAGGATTTTAGAGCCCTGTCTAAGCCCGAAACAACCCTGGCAACCCCTCAAACCTCAAGGCCATATCATATCTAATCTCACAAAACCCTGGACCCCAACATCGGCGCGAAGGATCTGAACTTCGGCACTGGATTTCGGCTGGGTTTAGGGTTGAGGTGTTTAGGGTTCGAGGGTTTAGCTGTAGGGTGTTGGGTGTAGGCAAACGGTTTCGGCTTCAGGCTAAAGTCTTAGTGGGTGTGGGCCTGCTGGGTCCAACACAGCTCATGTTTAGGGTTAAGGGTTTTGGGGGTCCAACCTAGCCCATGCTTACATAAAAATCAAAACCATCCGAGAATCCATCCTCCCCCCACCAATCCTGCAGCATCTTCTGCATCATGCCAGCGAGAAATCCTGCTGAAACCCCTGACCGGGTTCAGGGTTTTGGTGCTTGGGGTTTAGGATGAAATAGGAAAGACGATGTCTTGGCGTAGGGTTCGCGATGCATGCAGGTGTTGCTCTACTTGAAAAACGAAGCCTACAGCCCTAATCCTGCATCTAAACCAATCAAGCCCCACCCTTAGCCGAGGGGTTAAGCCTTAACCCTACTGTCAACCCTACATGGAACAAACTTTACCCTAAACCCTAAAGACTTCTAAACCCCGACCCACGCTTCAAAAACAGCAAAACAAAAGATTCCCGACACAGTGTGAAGACAACGAAAGCACGGCACCTCAGCCGAATCTGAGGTCGGACGGGTGGGTTGCATTCTCAGCCAGCGTTTCAGGGTGTTCAGAGCACTAGGGGCGTGGGTTTCAGGGTAGAAGGGTTTAGGACTTATACAGTATACAGGTTTTAGAACATTTGCCGGTGGTTTTGGGCTTGTTCTTCGGTGACCAGATTGGGAGATATACTGAGCTGCTGTAAAAGGCCTTAATGGTTTCAGTCACTGCCGTTCTAGGGCAGTCACTGTATATTTGATTTGAGCAGCTGTCCCGCTTTTTTCCAGCCTGCAAGATTGGCAGGTAGTGTGCTGCCGCATAAAACGCATGTTCTGGATGCAGCGGCAGAGAGAGTACAGCTGTGGACGGAAACCAAAAAGCGATGCCTCGACACTCTCTCCCTCTTGCCCTCCCTCGCCGTTTAAATATGTGGCTTTGTGTGTATAGTCATATCGGCAATCATAACACCAGGTGCAAAAGCTATAAGTCAACAAGTAAATATACAAATTGAGGAAAGATCGAGGAACAATATATGTAGGTATGTGTGTATATACACACACACACACACACACCCAGGCCCCAGACCCCTCAGCAGCGGGATCCCGGATCCCGGTATCTATCGCTGATTTGGGCTGTTTCCCATGCAACGATGGCTTCCGTGTTGGCACGGTAGCCGCAGCCGTCGTAATTTGGAGGAGTACGTGGGCCTTGGTAATCGACTTTTGAACTATTGCGAACCCTCCGTGCCATTTTCTGCTGTCAAGCATCACCAGAACTGTTGCTCATAGCGACCCTGGTGCTAACACTGCTAGGCCTTGCAAGTCCCTTCCTCGTCGTCGCTACTCTGCACTGTGATCCCGACGCAAAGAGCTTCTCAACTGAGGACAAACTGCTGGAAGCAGCATGTCATGCCAAGGCCGCGCATGCCCTCAGCAGACTTAATCATTCTTAAGGTGCATGGGTTAGGTTTGGGTGGTAAAGAGACATGGAGGGTTTCTCCCGTCGAATAGAACATTGGCCTAGCAGCTGGAGAGACTACCCAGAGATACCCAGAGCATCCGTCTCTTCATATTCATGCTCTGCTCGGTCCTTACCTGGTCCTTGTTCAAGTTACCCTAAACCCTAAACCGTTGGCACTGTGGAATCGCTCTCTGTATGTATGGGCCCTAACCGTTTCAGCTTGCCGGCTGGCCGTGGCTACCGTGTTGATTCCGGCAGCTAGAGCCCAAAGGGTCCAAGTATCACTACGGTATATACTCATAGGTTATCTCGGGGTTTAGGGTTTAGGGTTCTAAGAATATACCACCTTTGGGGGTTGATTGCTTTGACATACGCCGGAACCCTTGGTTTAAAGCATTCCAAGGACCAAAAACGGGAGATATTCACCACAAAATGTACGTAGCAGAAGCTCTTGCTCTAGAAACCCCTACTTTCTACGATGTAGGTATTTAGGACCCCTTGGGTGTGCAAGCTGGAGAGTTCGGCTTCGTTCTTGACTTTGCCTAATAAGACAAAACGAGCCTCTCTGACCTCACCCTTGCCGTTCCGAGAGGTTCGGGGTGTATAGAAAAAGTTAGTGAGTGCGGCTTGTTTCTGGGATTGGGTCGTTTATTTCGAGGGTTTGGTGGTTTATTTTGGGATTTGGTGGTTTTTAGGGGGCTTCGTGGGTTTGGGGGCTTACGGTTCGCGTCATTGGGGGCTTAAAAGCCTTCGTGCAGTTTGCTCTGAGGCCGTACGCTTGTCACAGGCCATGTTCATATCTGCATCGCCAATTTCAATTTGCTCAAGTGAGTGGACGCATGCACGACTGGTTATACATGCTTTTGGGGTCTATTGTTCAGTTGGTGCTGTGTTTTGTGTGCTGCCCTGGCTGCATGGACGTAGGCATAGCATTCGTACTGCTCTTGCAGACTTTCCGCAGCACAAGGAACAACTAGACAAAGGCATATTCCTGAGTAACTTCACACACAAACATCCACGTCATGAGTACATCAGGGTATCCATTCAGACACCCCGTTGCTGGATCCCAGAGTCTACGGCCTTCAGCTCAAAGCGCAACTTCACGCCCCCACCCCGACTTAGGCATTCAGGCCATGGCTTTTCAGGCAGCTTGTAGGTCCTCCTACGGTTTGTGGACTTTCTTCCCAAAAGGACAGAAGCCCTCATGCGAAATTTTCAGATTTTTAGGCTTTCTTAACCCCAAGCTAAGAAGTGACAAGGACGGCAAGGGTTACTGTAGGCGTTAATTTCAAAGGAGCGAAGCCCAAAGCCAAAGAGGCGCCCCCAACCCCAGCAATGAATGTCGGGGCGTTCGCCAATGGCATGGCCTGGATGGGAGGCGGCCCAGGACCGTCCTTTAATGCCGATAATAGATACTAGATACTTTACTCTACCCCAAAACCTTGTTCTAGCCACTAGTCACTAGCCAGTAACGAAAGGCTAAAAGCCTTCATTGTTAAATCTCACAGCCCTGAACCCCAAAACCCGACAGCCTTCAGCCAGCCCGAAGCCCGAAGACCTTCAAGCACCCCTAAAGCAGGAAAACCTCAAAACCGTAGCTGCACAAGCCATAGAGCTCTACAGGTTAATGCCCGAAGCACCTTAAACCTTACGGCTGCGCCAAAACCTCAACCCGATAGAACCTTCCTGCACAGAATACTCAAAAACTCTCAAACAGCTTAGGGTGGGGTCTAGGTTTAAGGTTTACGGCAGCCACCCAACCTAGAGTTCAAGGATTTGAAGCTTCACCAGACTCGGCGATGCCTGTTTACACGGCGTGTGCGACTTGCCAAATGCTGAGAGTTCCTTAGTATGTCTTTTGTTTCCTAGTAGTCGAGTAGGTAACCTTTAACCTTTTTGGGGTAGTATAGCCCCTATATAATCCCTATATACCCAAAAAGGTTAACCTTTAGTTCCCCATGATACCCGACAAGTAGGGTTGCGTGTTTGTTGTATTATAAACTTGGGACTTGGGTGTTGAAATTTTAGTAGTTTTTGTACTGTATATTGTATCAAGCTATATCCCTGGAACGGTTATGAAATAAGTATCCCCGTTGTGGGTATAGGGGGCCTATGGACAGAGAGTTTCGAGGACCAGCACGGCCTCAAGCCGGTTTTTCACAGATCGTTACTTTAGAGCGTCAGGATTTGCGGTCAAGGCAGCACGCCCCGAACCCGAAAAACGGTGTTAACTCGTAGTTTCCAAGCTCGCTGGACCAGGGAAATCAATTAATGAAAAGACTGTCGGAGTTGTTCAGATTCTTGGCGACCTCGGCTGTGCAAGTTCAAGGGTCAGTTATCATGGGAGTTTTCATTATTTTTTAGAATATTGAATCGCGTTGTTGGTGTATGTGTTAAATTTCAAGAAACATGGTAAAGGGTCCTTGAGGAATCAAGTCGTCAAGTAGTCAGGCTTCTGTAAGCTTCCCTGAACGCGTTTCCCTCTTCGAACCAATCGGGTTTCTTATTCTTGTTCGGTGTCAACAAGCGCCGGAAGCCCAATCCCAAGGTACCAGGGTTCTGGTGTTCGGCTGTCAGTCTGCCGGAAGCCCTGAACTCGACGCCAAGAAACCCGAAACCCTATACACCCCAAGCAAGAACGAAGGAACACCATCAAACTATAAACCCTGTAAACCCTAACCCCCTGTAAACCCTACACCCCAAAGCCCTTAAACCTAGAACCCCACCACCAACTCAAGCTGAGGATGTCCCGGCTGGGCCATACCACGAAGTTGACCAGCCGTGCTTTCAAACCTTCACGCATGAGCTGTCCCCTGGGCTCTTGTGCGTTCTGGTGTCAGATATCACAATCAATGGGAGCATCCCATTCATGGCACCTTCCTTTATCAGCGCACAACTTTTTTGATGTTTCCGGTACTCTTCTAAGCAGGGGATATATCCTCGGGTTACTCCTAGCGCTAGAGGAACCCTTATAGGCTCCTTCAAGGAGCACCTTATCGGATCCCGTTTAAACGCACCCCTTCAAACGAAGTCGCGTAGGATCCCAAAACGGAACTTTTCGGGTCTACCATGAACCCTCAGCCCCAAAACCTGAACCCCAAACCCGAAGTTTAAGGGTTTTGGGGTGTAGAGTTCAGAGTTTGGGCTCTTTAAGGTTTTAAAGGTGTACGTGTGTGCTTGCAAATCAAAACCCGCGGTATAAACGTTCCTTTTTTTAGTTGAAGATCGTGCTTGGCTTGTGATGTTCTTTCGAAGACTGTATCGACCGTTGTCATTCCATGCCAAGTTTCGGTTTAGCTTCAGGCACAGTCAAGCCAGCCGGAGACCCCTCGCGATCTCGATCGGCCTCATTATCAGACCTTTGTGCATCAGCTCTCTGAGGGACTCTTGGGCTTCCTTTTGGGGGGGATCCTTTAAGGATTCCTTTCAGGGGTCCTTTGAAGAAGCCCTATAACCCTATACCCTGACCCCTAGAGTGTGAGCACCGAAACCCTGAACCCTAAAGATTCCTTTAAGGGCTCCTTTGAGGATTTCTGTAAGGGAGCCTTGTCGGAATCCGATACCGGCTCCCTGGGAGGGCTTGCAGAAGGATCCCGTCAGGGTTCTCTAAGGGCTCCTTGCAGGGGATACCTTTAAGGGGTTCCTTTAAGGGGTTCCCTTTGAGGGTTCTGTAAGGGTTCCGGGTTTAGGGTTTAGGGTTCTTTAGGGGGTTCCCTTTAAGGGTTCTGTAAGTACTAAGGGTTGGGGTTCCTTTAAGGGTTCCCTTTAAGGGTTCCGGGTTTAGGGCTCTTTGGGGTTCTTTGGGGTGGTTCAGACTTCGGCCGTGGGGTTGTTGCCTTTCGTTTGCCGGTTACAGGCACAGGTTCGTCGAGGTTCTTTCCCGTACTTAGGGGTACTTAGAAATAATCTTTAGTTATTATAATTCCTAAGAAACAGCTAAAATCATAATCTTTGCTAGGGTTCTAAGTTCAGTATAGTCTGTAGATATACGGTTTAGCCGTAAGTGCTGGCGGTTTGAAGCTTGGCTGAAGGGATTCAGGGCTTCGTGCGTCGCGGTCCCTGCTCAGAAAAGATGTGCGGTTTTAGGAATCCGGAACTTGCCTATGTGCTTCTCAGATTAGTAAAACGTATCCGTAACCTTCTGCGGCTTTTGCATGAAATGAAACTTTTTCTGAGGATTGCCAGCTTCATACACCCCTGAACCCTTCGTAGAAACCCAAGTGTCGCCGTGAGATTGTTGTTAAGATTCAGTTATAACAATAGACACCAAAACCCCAGTGCGGCTTCTAGCATTCTAGCATTGTTCATATTCGGTAGTTATTGTCATATACTGTTGATCTTGGTATTCTCCTCCCTCTTATTCGTAGTCTTATCAAAGCCCCCTAGATGAAGAACCCCCCTCCTTTTTCGGAAGACTTAGGATTCTGGTGCGTTCTTGTGGCGGACTACCAGTTCCTCCAGTCGGCCGGGACCTCGCCGCTGACCAACCTTCAGGCACAGGGATAATGTAGGAACCTACTTAAGGAACCCTGGGTCAGGACAATGTAGGAAATGACTAAGGGCCAGGATGATGTAGGAACCTGACTAAGAAACCCTGGACCTATACCCCCCAAAACAGTAGTGTTCACAGAAAGAGCCCTAGTAAAGGCCCAAGGTTTCTTCATCAGGTTCCTACATCAACCCCAAACCCCGACAAACTCTAAACCCTACAGCTGAAACCCTGAACCAAAAAAACCTAAACCCCAAGGCCCAAAACGCAGCGGTATGGGGCTTAGGCATGAGCATTTAGAGTCTCAAGGCTGTGTAGTAGTCTGTGTTTCGCGTTCAGGCTTTGGTTTAGTGTGAGGCTTAGGTATTGGCTAGACTTGAGTCCAGTAGCAGAAAGGTATGAGCATTTGGATTCTAAAGGCTGTGTGGTAATGTAGGGTGTAAGGTTGGCTTGGCTGAAGGGATTCAGGGCTCAGTGCATTGCAGTCCCTGCTCAATAAAGGGTGGGCTTTAGTAGGGGGCTTAGGTAGGAACGTTTAGATTCCAAAGGCGTTCTTTCTGACTACTGCCACTGTTTCCCTTCAACCCGACCCCCCCTAACCCGCTTTTGAACTATGGTTTAGGGGCGAGGGTTTATGGAAACCCTAAACATTAAACTATCCTAGAACTAGACTTTAAAAAGCCCTTATCCTAAACCGTTAACTTATATATCCTCGAGGGAGCAGTTGCGCGGCTGTCTCGGTCACTTCTCTGGGCAAATGCAAAGATGCAGACGGATGCGGCGCCGCAGGCTCGTGTAGAATTTGTGAAATGTAGGGGTCGTAAATAATTAGATAGATAACTAGATAAACACATGGACACATATATTTTCTTGTGGATGCAGCGGCAGAGAGAGAAACATATGTAACTATATACACGTTGTATATAACTGAATACATACACGTGCTTGCAAACCCCATTGAAGTTTGTTTCGCCCCTGTATCGGCTTTTCTTATTTAGGGATCTACTGTAGGGTCCAGGATCTGCTTGGAGGTTGAGAGACCTGATGAGCCGGATGGCTTAAGTAGGGTCTAACTGGGATAATAGTCAGAAAGGTTCTCCCAATCATGGTAAGCTTGCGACTTTCGCTGAGTACATCTTGGATAGTTTCAGAAACATCTTTTCTGGGAAATCTCACATTTACACTTGAGATTTAGCCGTCTCGGCTTTCCTAAATGCTTTTCTCCACCACCCAGAACATGCAACATGGCTACAAAGCTTGATTTGTAGATCCCATGTGGTGCAATACACACCTTTCCCACTTGTTTCGGCTGACTGTTGCAGTCCGTAAGGGGTATAGGGCCGCAATAACTGCCAAAAAGCTGCCGGCTTAGTTATTCGCGCCACTAGGGCTTCGCAAACGGCGCCTGCATTGTTGTCACGAGCTCAGGATTATGGCCAGAAGCTCATTTTAATGAACCCCAAAATAACATAACGTGGGTGTGGACTTTGAGTCCAAGCCTTTCATCTTCCACTACTTCTTCAGATATTTGCAAAATTTGGTGTCTCGATGCTGATTTAGGGTGTGGGTTACAGGTAATGACGTCTTACGTCCCACATCCGATATATATATATATATATATATATATATATTCTGACAATAAACTGCAGAAAACTCGCCCCGCCCTCAGGCCGCTATGGCTATGCAGCAGGGCTGGGGCAATGCCAATGCTCAGCTGTTGCTGCGCACCGCGGCATCTTGGCAGATGTCTGCCGGGCAAGTGCCATTAGTGGCCCAAGAGCAGGACGATCCTGAGTTAAAGTGGGGTTTGGGTCTACCAGGGATCCATACCCTGTATAAGGGTTCGAAACCCAAAGCCCCTAAACCCTAACCCCTCAACCCTAAACCCCTAAGCCTAAACCCCTAAACCCTGAACCGTGCTACCAGGCTTTACTGTGTTAGTTGCTTAGATGTGCCTGGCCCTCAGTTTCTTTTCTTCAGGGGTACCCGGCAGTCGCAATGGGTATTAGGGTTCAGAGCTTTGTATTCGCGATGCAAGGATCTGGCTAGAAGTGGCCAAAAAGAGCTTAGGATTCGGAGTCCTGGCTTTGGGGTGTAGAGTAGGGGGCATAGGCCTAGTTTCACAGAGCGGATCGCAGGGGGTTATGGGTTATAGGTTTTAGGAAAGACGTGGTATTGCAAGGAACCCCCAAACTAGTACAGTATAGGTAGTTATGAAGGCCCTTATATTATCTCAGTAGGAGCAGGGTTTCGGGATTTGGGCTTTGGGGTGTCGCTCGTATCGCGACGTTTAGCATGCAAGCCAGCAGACGACTCGAATTAGTGTATACAGGTCACGAAACGCTTTATGTCAGTCGCTTGGCCACCACGTACTAGTTTGATTAGTTTGGGGGTTCCTTACATTACGTATGGTATGAACCCTATTGTCACGGGAAGAATTTTTTTTGCAAGGGGTTGAGGTCCTTTGATCAGGCATCAGTACTCTTTCGAGACTTGCAAGCGCGACATCCGAAACCTTCAGATGTTCGAAGTGGGCTCCGCTGGGTTGGGTGCTTTCAACCCAGGCCAAGGAAAGATATACATCTTTTTCCTCAACAGCATGTCGGCTTTTGGGGTACCCATACTGTTCAGTGATTTGCAGCCTTTGCCTTAGACCCTAGTGTCTTCCAGCTCCTACTAACATCCAGACGAAGCCTAAAACCCTTAGCCCTGCAAGTACTCAGTCGCCAGGACTTTCAACAAGGGGGCCACTGGAAGGGACATCAGCGTTACTCCCAGAAAGGCTACCACCAGCAGCAACTTGGAAGTTAAAGCTTCCCTGCCGCTTCGATTTAGAGCTTAGGGGATTCGTTGCCATTTCCAGTCCTGCTGATATAATCGCCCTTGCTGAATATACCATAAAGGCCTGAATCATGAGAATAGGGTTTTGGGATATATTGAGGAACCCAAAGAATGATGCATGGCCAGCCATTCAGACCCCCATTTTGCTCTTGTCATGTCAACCGTTGTTCCGTCCTTATCGCTTTTCAATCTGCGGAGGCTGAAAATGTTGGTGTCCTGGACAGGGTTAGGAAAGGGTTCTGAGGTTTCAGGGGTTTTGTGGGTTGAGTTTGGGTTTAGGGTTTATGCTTTCAAGTGTTGGGTGTGGGGTTGGCTGTGCGGTGGTTTTGGCAGGGTTTGGTCTGCTTGTCACCAGCAAGCAAAAGTACCGAAGCAGAAAAGGATGCATAATATAGACGCAGCAAGAGCTACCATTGCGATCCCTTAGGTTCCTTCCGATAGGTGTACCCAGAGGCCCCAAAGTAGTTCCTTTTTTGGGATTTCCTTATAGGATTCTATATATGAACCCCAAAAAGGATCTACTTTGGGTAAGTTGCACCCCAAGGCCCTGTTCGAACTCTTCAAGACCCGACATGACCAGGGCCAGGAGGTCCTGCAAGTCGGCCCTGAAGAGAGCCCTCGAACCCTAAACCCTAAAGGGAACTCCAGAAAGTTGGAATATGGATTAATGGTAGGATCCCCTATAATTTACCTTAAAGGGGTTACGATAATGATATTCCAACTTTTTGGCTTCTACCCTAAACCCCTGCACCAGAGACCTCGTCAGGCATGCCCGAGTTGCGAGAGCGTGCACCCTAAACCCTAAACCCTTTAAACAAGACCCTAAGCCCTAAATCCTGAACCCTAAACCGAGAAGCCTAGACTCCAGGCATTCCTTCGGGGAAGCAGAGACACAAAGGTGGGACGTAATAGCAGAGTCAGGGGAACTCCGATGAGGGATACGGTATACCCGAATAGAGCCACAAGATCGCCATAGTGGAGTATGTGAACCCCAGTGAGAGCCACGGTATACTCAAAAAGAGCCACAACTCAAATAGGGCCACAAGGTATTAATAATAGAGTTAGGAGAACCCCACTTGTCGGGTACTGTGTACTGGAAATAGATGTTTGCGACTGTCGTACCGAGTCCCCTGATGCTCCAAGCAAGTGCCCGGACCCTAAGCTCCAAAGCCCTAAGCCTAACCTCTAGCCGAAAAAAGCTTCGTTTTTTCGGATTCCTTATTCTAGTTTCTAGGTACATATCGCGAAAACAAGGTAGGTTTGTTGGGCCGCAGGTAAGTGTAAGGTTCACCCTAAACCCGAAATTCAGGGTTCGAGTCGAAGCTAAGGCAGAACCAGCGACCGGGGCCACACAGACATCCGCACCGGGTTGTGCACCAGCAGCCGCCTGAGCCGCCGCCGCGCAAGAAAGGGAAGGACAAGCCGAATCTCAGGCCGATTTAGACTTTAGGGTTTAGGGGCTTAGGGTTTAGAGTTTAGAGTTTAGGGTTTAGGGTTTGTTTGTGCTTTAGGGTCGCTTGGGGCTTATGGCCGAGGGTTCAGGGTTTAGGCAGCCAGGCGTCTGTGCGTGCAAGCCTGCAGCAAAAGGCCGCGGAAGTCTGCAAGCTTGACAAGCTATTTAATATAGTAGAAGCCCGAAAGTTGGAAACCCAATAGCCTCAATCCTTAAGAGTCATGTATAGGGAATCCCAGCACTATTTGGCCTTAACCCGCTTTCCAACTTTATGGGGTTTACTGTAACAAGAATCAAACACAACCCCCTGAAAGCACGATAGACAGCCGTGTAGCCTGTTCTGAAACGGAGAGTCTGCGAAACCCACACAACCCTAAACTCCACTAAATGCCTACAGAACCATAACACCTTTCATAAAACCACAACCCCCACCTTCTGAAATCACAGGAAAACATCCATAAACACCCTATGGTAGAAGCCAGAAAGTTGGAACACTAGTATCCTCATGCCTTTAGGGTAAAGGATAAGGGATCCTAGCACTAATCCTCCTACACCCATGTTCCAAATTTCTGTCTAAAAAGACCCTAAATCAGCTCATGAAATCATAAGACTCCCTCATAGAACACTCTACAAAGGCCCCAAAGTAGTTCCTTTTTGGGGTTCATATATAGAATCCTATAAGGTAATCCCAAAAAGGAACTACTTTGGGGCCTTTGGGTAAAAGGACCCTGGGCAAAAAATCCCAGGAATGGCTCGAGGAGTCCCCTCGGTGAGCCTCTGAGCGAGGATGCCGTGCAACTCTTGACCTCCCACCTCATGGCACAGGCTTCTAAGCTTTAGGGTTTAGGGCTCATGGGGTTTAGGGCTTCTAGGGTTTAAGGCTTCTCTCTCTTTAAAGGGAACTCCAGAAAGTTGGAATATGGATTAAAGGTAGGATCCCCTATAATTTGCCTTAGAGGGGTTACGATAATGATATTCCAACTTTCTGGCTTCTAAGCTTTAGGGTTTAGGGCTCATGGGGTTTAGGGCTTATAGGGTTTAGGGCTTATAGGGTTTAGGGCTTATGGGGTTTAGGGATTATAGGGTTTAGGGCTTATAGGGTTTAGGGCTTATAGGGTTTAGGGATTATAGGGTTTAGGGCTTCTAGGGTTTAGGGCTTATAGGGTTTAGGGATTATAGGGTTTAGGAAAAATGGCTTAGGGCTTAAAGGTTTAGAGCTTCGACGGTTTAGGGCTTTTAGGGTTTAGTGTTCGTCCTGGCGGAGTCTCAGCAGGCCAGTTGCAAAAGGGTTTAGGGCTTCTAAGGGTTTATGGCATAGGGCTTTTTGGGTTTAGGGCTTATAGGGTTGAAGGTTAACGGTTTTAGGGTTTAGGGCTTACAGGGTATAGGGTTAAGGGCTTAGGGCTTATTGGGTTCAGGGCTTACAGGGTTTAAGGTTAATGGCTTTAGGGTTAAGGTCTTATAGGGTGTAGGGCATATAGGGTTTAGCGTTAAGAGCTTTAGGGTTACGGGCTTATAGGATTTAAGGTTAATGGTTTAGGGTTCTTAGGGCTTATTGGGTTTAGGGCTTATAGGGTTCAGGGCTTAGGGCTTCAGGGCTTAGGGTTTGCTGCGTTGGCGAAATCATCTGGCAACTGCGCTTTTTCGAGTGCTTCGCATTGTGGCGATCGGCCGCTAAGGGTTCTATTCAGGTTTCAGCTTGGGCTTATTATGGCGGTTTTGGCACGAAGGATGCATCTGGTGGGTTTGTCTAGATGAGTGTGTGGGTTGTAAAGTTCCAACATCCGTCAAGCAGGTGCACCTAGCAGTTCTCCTATGCATCCGCTTTTGTGGGTCCTACCATACTACCTGGGAGTTTCCGAAATTTAGGGGGACCTTATTTTGGGGCCCTTAAAGTAAGGATCCTGCTATTTAGGGTGCTGTATCAGGGTCCCCTGTTTTCGGAAACTCCCACCTAAACCATGAACCCAGACATGCTCAGCGAGTCATGTTATATTATAAAATTTTGATATTATCATACTATTATATTGTTATATTATCAAATTATTATTTGGTCAGGGAGAAAGCCACATCAGAGACCAAGGCCCCTTGAAGAAAAATCAACCCTGTTATTACAAGCGTCAAATCAGAAGCCTAAGCCTGAAATTCGGCGAGGCCCTAGCGTGCGTTTGATGTGCAATGTAGACAGAAGTTTGCGTATGATATGCAAGAAGACACCGAACGGCGGAGGTGCGTGTGCAATATTTCCCAATCCCTCTGTAGTGCAAGGTTCCCAGCACCTTTTTTTGCTGAAGCCAGAACAGCAACGCAGTGGTGAATTCACAGATGTACGCCTATGCCGTCATCTTTAAATACTACACTCTACACCGTGAACCTCTACACCCGTAGTTTACACCCCGATCACAGGTGTTGAGCCAACGCGTGCCACTGGAAGAGGGGAGAAGTGTCCAGCTTTCGCTTCCAGTCGCCCGGCAATCCAGTCTTAAGCCGCCAACAAATCCCAAACGGTCCTAAGCACATAGTAGAAAGTAGGGTTTCTGTAGCAGGAATTACTAAAATTCTGGTTTGGGTAAGGACCCCCCATTTAGGTAGTGAGGACCCTTTGGGTAAGCCTAACTTCTGGCTTCAATCCATAGCCAACTTAGGACTGGCTGGATGAAGTGCCGCAAAGTGACTCGGGCTCTGAGGACGCATTGTCTCTGATTCAAGCTTCAGAACTTTAGGGCTAAGGGCTTACGGTTTAAGGGCTTGTAGGGTTTAGGGTTCAAGTTCACTTCTCAACTCTCACTGCTGCGAGTCTACGAACCCCTAAATCCTACCCCTCAGACTCAACCCTAAACCCTGAACCCTCAAGGATCCTCGCTAGGTGGGAGGCAAAAGGACGAGCTCAAACGATCGAGAGGACCCAGGTTCCCTCGCATTGAAGCCCGGCTTTCCCCTTGCAGTTTTGGGTGCCGACACCCGCTGGTTCAGGTTTTAGGGTCCAGGGTTTCAGTCTACATCTTCGAGTGCCTGTGAGAGAGAGAGAGAGAGAGAGAGAGAGAGAGAGAGAGAGAGAGAGAGAGAGAGAGGGTTTCAGTCTACATGCCACGTTAGCCTGTACGGTTAGCTTTCTCACAAAGAAGTTTATCTTCGGGAGAGCTGCTGCGGCAGAGAAGGTGCGCCTCCCACAGTGCTGCTTTCCGAGGTAGCGGCGTCACCATCAGTGCCGAGCGTCGCACCGGGGTAAATCGTGCACTGCGGCACTTGAGCAACAAGTTGCCTGGGTGCTGTTGGACCGTGGGACAGACCCGCGAGGAGCACTTTGAGTTTTACTCTTGGGGTGGTTGGCCGCGTGTAGGGTTTACGGTTTGGCATTCAGGGTACATGGGGCTTAGGATCAATTTTTATCTATTTGGGAGTTTCTGAAAATAGAGAAGCCTAATATAGTACCCTAAATAGTAGGATCCTTATTATAAGGACCCCAGAAAAAGGTACCCCTTGTTTTCGGAAACTCCCATTTGGGCTTGGATCTACTGTATCTATTGGGGTTCAGGGTTCAGCCCTGCAGATCGATAACCCCTCCTCACGAAAAGTCTTGCGGGGTCGGGACGGTCTCTGACCGACAACACGGAACAGCTTAAGGTAGGTAATATTCAAAGACTTTAGACCTCAAGGTTATATACTTAGGGGTATTTAGAAATACCTTTCAATTTTTGGTTATTATTATCCCTAAGAAACAGCTAAAATTTTATTTTTTGCTAGGGTTCTAAGTTCGGTATAGTAGGGGCCTTAAGAATTTGAATAGGGTGTTGGGGATATTCTACTATAACTATAGTAAGGAACCCCCCAAAATAGTATAAGTAATTATTTAGGCCAATATAGTAGGATCATGGAGCTGCTGTGTATCCTCAACGAGAGAAATCCCTCAAGAAGCTCTTACAGGAATCCTTTACGTTTAGGGTTTAGGGTTTGCAAAACTGATCAACTGGTCATCCCAAGTGGCACGAGCCCACAGCACAGTCGGTGCCTCGGTTCCTGGCATATGCGTAGTCCAGGTGTAAAAGGGTTTAGGGTTTGAATCCTTTACAAACCAATCACATCAAAAAGGATCCTAACAACCCGCTGCTTTTGCATGAGCCATGCCCAACAGGTTTCAAGAAACCCAAAGGGTGCTAGGTACATCTATCGGGGAATACTTATCACCCAAACCATAACAGTAATTCCTACTATAGAACACCTACCTTCTACTATGGGAGTTTCCGAAATGAGGGATACGTATCTTATTTCGGGGTCCTTATAAGGATCCTACCAAATACTAAGGGTACTGTATTAGGGTCTCCCACTTTCGGAAAGTCTTCTATAGGTACTTAGGACCCTCTGGGAAAGCTGTAATGCAGGAGATCCACGTCTTCTTGGCTGACGCGGCGCGCTTCTCGAAGTGGTTCGAGGGCGGAACCTGAGGCTGAAACCCTGGTCCCTCCATCCTACCCTCGAAACCCCTAAACCCTAAACCCAAAAACAAAAAAAACACCCCAGGCCCCAAACCCCAGCCGATTTTCCTTCTGAAATCCAGGAGGTGTGGTGGCAGAATAGTCTCGAAGACTTTCCGGGGAAGCCCCGGAACCACTCTCAACAGGTGCTTTACAGCCCCAAGGGTCCCAAGTGCCTAGCAGAAAGTAGGGTCTCTATAGGAGGAATTACTGTTTATGGTTTGGGAAAGTACCCCATATAGATAGTTGTAAAGGTAGTCTGAAGCTTTTGTTGGTGGCTTTCAGCTTCTCTGTCGGACGATGGGAAGGGACTTGGCAAGTCGATCATATGTGGATGGTAGAAGTATCCCTGTTGGGGTTATCCTATGTACAACCCTACAGATAACCGACGTACCAAGATTTCATTTAGGGCCTGTTTAGGGCTTGGGGTATCGAAGCCTAAGGTTTCTGCCTGTTTCGGCGTTTCGGGTTTAAGGACGAGACGTGGACTTCGCAGAGATACATGTGCGGGAGAGGAGCGTCCTGCAGCCCTTAAGGCGGACAGGGAATCAAAAATCCAGAAGCAAACCGCGCACCGCGCAGCTGCTGCAGATTTGGGTTCCGTTCATTATGATGAAGAGCGACTAAGTATCCTGGGGATTCAAAATGGACAACCTTTAACACTCAAACCCTCTTCCGTGCACCTTCAAGCATCCCAAGCAGTCAGCCCGAATCCGACCCCATCCTAAACCCGACCACAGACTCGAAGCCCTAAGCCCAAAGCCCCCCAATTGCTACACGCCCCAAAACCTCAACCTTATGGGGCTTAAACCCCATTATAAATCATGTCAATGTACCCTACACCCTAAACCCAACCTTACCCTTACTACCGCTTCTCGGATTCTTGCGAAGCCGCAAAAGGGTCGCTAAAGACAACAACTCATATACCCTGAACCCTATTAGAAATTATGTACCCTAAACCCTGAACCCCTAGACCCTAAACCCTCAACCCTGATGGGGCGTAATCCCTATAATGAATCATGTACCCGAAACCCTGAACCCCTAAACCCTATACCCTGAACCCAAATCCTCGCCTAGGCTTGTCCGAGTGTGAGTGCTGAAACCCAAATCCTCAACCCTGATGGGGCCTAAACCCTATAATACATTATGGTCCCTAAACCCTGAACCCCTAGACTTTAAACCCTGAACCGCTAGACCCTAAAACCCTAAACTCTAATCCTCACACTTGTGGGGCTTCCTCGGATCTTTCAACAGCAAGGCGGCAAGAATTGATCCGAGGATCATCCGGGGCCTTGCCAAGGGATGCGTTGGCTCAACGTTTGGGTTTTGGGGTTTGGGGTTTTAGGGTTTAGGGTTTAGGGGTTCAGGGTTTAGGTTCAGGGTTTAGGGTTTAGGATTTTAGGGTTTAGGGGTTCAGAGGTTCAGCGTTTAGGGTTTGGTGTTTTAGGGTTCAGGGTTAAGGGTACATAATTTAGAGTAGGGTTTAGGCCCCATAAGGTTGGGTTTAGGGTTTAGGGTACACTGATAGGGTTTAGGTTTTTCCATTCCAGTCTCCGTCCGGGGTTGAGGGTTTCAGGTTTGTGTGAAAGGGGTAGTTAACATTAATTAACTGTTGGAGTCGGCGCTTAAGGGTTTGGAGCTGAATATGCTGTGAAGCCGTTAAATTGGGCGTACATCGTATTACAGGGATGTCTGAAATAACCTGCAAGAATAGCGACACACTAGGATGCAGTTTTTGTTTAGCCAACCCGACCCCCGCACCAAGACAGCGGCCGTCCTGACAACTGCCGTGTAGCTCATTCCGAAGTTCCGCAGCTCTCTCTCCAATCTTGGCAAGACCGCAGAAAGCCGCAGAGAGGCCTTGACCTCAAGAACGCCGTATCGTTGCCATTCGTTTCGCCTTTGCCCCCAAGCATCCAGTATACACTTGGTTCCTACTTTGCCGTCTGAAGTCTTTAGATAGTGCCGACTTTGACCTGCTCTTTAGGATGTTAGGTTTCAGGCTTGAGGGTTTAGGGCTTAGGCTAATTGTAGTCCCCCGAACTCAAAACCTTAAACGCCTCCCCAAAGGGTCCAAGTATCATTATGGTATATACTTAGACCCCCAGAAAACCCTAGAAGTATATACGCATAGTGATACTTGGACCCTTTGGGCTCAATGACCCTTAAAGTCCTGATCCCCACTTCAACTCATCCCGAGACTGGGGTCTGGGGATCTGGTTTCAGTAGGGTCGAACGCTGCATTCCTGGAATGTACCTGGACCCCAAAAGTATGTAGAATAAGTGCCTTTTGTGGGTATTGGGCCATTATTTTACCTACTTTGGGAGGTTTGGGTAAGACCATCAACACTTGAAGTGCAAGCCCAAGAGGGCGTATAAACCTAGCGAATGTCGAGGCAGACCGTTCACGAGGCCCCAACTCACCTGGAAGCTTCTGCAAGCCATGTGTCTCTACTCGTGCTTGCCTTTCCGCCGACATCACACTTCAAACGCACAAAACTTTCAGTCTAAGTCGTCGTGGTGCCTGTCTGCGACCACGTCCTCCTCGTTGTCCTCGTCGTCGTCGTTGTCCTGGCACCGGCTACTGCAAACCAGGTGATGTTTGCAAGCAGTTTCGGTCAGTCTTATTATTGCGATCACTACGAGAGCCATGGTTGAGGTACGATGATCAGCATAGACATGCTTGTTCCGGTGGTGTTAGCATTATGTACCGTTGACGGTAAGGTTTATGCTGTTGTTGCTGTTACTGTGGCTACAAGATGTGACCTGTAGTCATCGCAATTGTGGTCGGCATCATAACCTCCTCACAATCAACAAAAGTCTGATCTGCCCCACCATCAGTATCGTCGGCCCCGTCCTCGTCATTATATCAACCTCCCATCTATGCTTAGCACGGCGGCGTCTGGCGTTGAGAATTTCTCACTTCGGCCGGACTGTGGAGGTTCGGCACAGCCGAGGCAAAGCTCAATCGCCTACCGCAAAAAGCATCGTTGATCTTGTAGTGTTTTTGCGCAGGCGCAGGGATTCGTGGAAATAGGATGTCTGAAAGCAGAATTACGTTCGGGGTGTTTGCTGCGAACTTGACTATCGGATTTCGCAAGCCGAAACCCAAACCCTTGGTTAGACGCCTAAACGCCAAGCACCAGTCTTCAGCATCAAGACTATCAAGCTGTTATACCGCTTGAGCATGCGCATGACCGTATTCCTGCGGCTTATGAAGCAGTCCTGAGTTCAAGCCTTCCGAAGTGCGTACTTGCGCAGAGCACCCCAGTCGCCAGAGCGGCCAGGGGGTGACTAGGCTTCAGGTGAACCCTTCTGCTATAGCCACAGGAATCCCATGCAGACGAAGGACGAAGGCGGCGTAGAGGTCTCAAAACCGCGGCAACCCCAAGCCGTAAACCTGAGTACATGGGTGTCTCTAGATCGGGATATGTAGCCATCTAGAACCCAAAGATGTCTGACCCAGAATCATAAACCCACACCTTCAACTGCATGACAAGGCGACGGAGCAGATTTTGGAGGAGGAAAGTGCGGAGGACGGAGGTACTTCCCTTCGATCGCTTCAGCCGGCTCGGGCCCATGTTTTGGGTGTGTTCGGTTTAGGGTTTAGGGCTTTGTCTCTTTGTGAGTTGAATCTTGTTAGGTTATTGTAATGTCTTTCGTCGGTTGTTCTGTAGAGATGCAGTTTGCCATTTTACGCGTCGGTGGGCTTACGGGATTTCGGGAGTGCTTATGTAAAGGTTTGGATTTGCTGGGGTTGGTGGTTGTAGGCTTGAGAGGAGGTCAGGGTTACGGTTTGAAGGTTTGCAGTCAAGTGTCTGGGGTTGGGTTGGATTCGTTTAAAGTTGCGGTCAGCAGGGTTCTACCCAGGTTATACGACGCAGGCAGCAGGGTTTGAGAAGGGTGCTATAGGGTTGTTGTTGAGCCTTAGGGTTCCGGCAAAAGGGCTAGATTTTCAAAGGACCAACCTTGTTCAGGCCGTCAGGTGACCAGGCCGAAAGAACGATATAACGCAAGTACGAAGAATCCTTTCTCATAGCTTCCGCGATAGGGTCCCAGGCCCCTTATAAGTTGCAAAACGCCGAACTAACAACACGTCCATCTGAACATTAAGCAAATTACTAATCATCTCTTGGCTTCAAGGTGTCCAGTCTCTTGGGACAGATTAAGGGGTTTAATCAGGTTCATAGGGTTTTGGGATTTAGGCTCTAGCGGCTTTGGGTTTGAGAACTGCAGATGTGCAAGGCCTAGCAATGTTTAGCGTGCCTGATGTCAGCGTAGGACACTTCTCAGATACAAGCTCCTGGTTACGAAAGAACTGGCATCCCGAAACTTTTGTTGGGGATGCCCGGTTTAAGCCGTTTTGGGAGATAGGAAGCTCGCCCAGACAGAAGCTGTCTCAGGTCCCCTCTGAGGCAATCCCGGACGACGCCATGCAGAGCCTGTCTGATACCGAGGGAAGGCTCGGAGATGTTTAGGGTTTGGGATTTAGCGGTTTAGGGGTCTGGGTTTTAGGGTTGAGTGGTCTGGGCCTGGGATTTAGAGTTTTAGGCTTGAGGGGTTTGAGATTTTGCATTTTCAGGGTTCAGGGTCTGGGATGTATAGGGTGGCGGGTCTGGGCTTTAGACTCAGGGTCTGGTTTTAGGGATCTGGGGATATGGTATAGGGCATCGGGCAGGCTCGGAGATCGGGCTGCAACGTTCTAGATGTTCCTTAGGATTCCGCAGTGTTTTGTAGATTGCAAACCCAACGGGGGTATGAAAGGTATGGTACGGCATGGTTTCTCTTTTGAGAGTTTGGTCAGTTGGTCCATGGCATAGATTCACGGGCTTGGAGTAGGAGTACAGGGTATTGTTCAGAGCTTAGGTTGTGTAGGGCACCATTGGAAGGTTTTTGAGGGTTGTACGATGGAATATCTTCGGGATGTTGGAAGACTTGGTGTCACTGTGTGAAGGGTGTTTCTTTTTTTT